ACATAAATGTCGGTCAAAGCACAGACTTGACTAACATAGTAACGTTGCAATATTTTACTCGACATGTATTTTGTTGTTGCTGCTTCACATTTTTAATACGTTACTCTGTTATCGAACTCGTGAATACCCCTTATATGTACGTTCAAGCAAATAGTGATTGCAATTATCATAATTTTTCTAAATAGGTGTTTAAGCTGATCAATTTGATTAACGAAATTTTGTATGATACAAGTTCAATCCTTAGTACTTGCAGTTTCAAAAAATTATTTAAAGATAATTATAAATAAGAAGTAACTCTAAAAGACCACTGACGATGGGTATTTGGCAATACTCGAAACTGCAGTATGGACAGCCAAATATTAAATTGATTAAAATGAATAAAAAAATTTGTTTTTGCAATTAACTGCTATTGGAAATATCGCTATTAAATGCAATAATTTCTATTAAGTGAAACAGTCACTGTCATTATAACTGATCAATATAATACAACAAATTCAATAAATACTTTTTTTAAAGGATGTTCAAACCAAATGTGATCGTTTATTTGTTGTTATTTATTTCTATTCATTTGACTATTCGTTTACTATTTTATAAGTAATGTAAAATTGAAATGTAAATAAATTTTTTCCTCCTTGTAAATATTAAACAGTGCTGCCTGTTTTTGCTGCTGGGCAATATCTACATATTTGTATGAATTTGTTTGTAATTTTTGTGCATATTTTACTGTTATTGTTATTGAAGATATAACAACCTTGAAAAAGATAACAATTTGAAAAATATTCTCCGATCGCTGTGTGCATGTTTTCGATTTTTAATTTTTTTTTTTTCACTAATCAATGCTTCAATGCTTCTTTTTGTTTGAACAAGTAAATAAGGTTTATTATTATAAAAATGCGGACCTATGCCCTACTAAGAGAAACGGACACTTAGAAGAAAAAACAGAGTTTAACTATGTTTACTAAAGATTGAAAGCGAAAGGATTTATTCTCTCATTTAACAATATTGGTATTTGATCTTATTTATATATGTATGTATGTATGTATGTAAGTACTATGATGTTTGATCAAATGTCTGTATTGATATGTATTTTCAGCTCTCTGCTTATCTCTCATCAGTGCACCGATCAACCAGAAAGGTATATAAAACCGACATTCGTGTGTTGATCAATACGTTTAATGATCATTAAATTTCATTCGCTTTTAAATGCATTTATATACATGTATATGTGTATACATATATACATATGTATGCATTTGCATTTGTATAGATATATGACATTATATATGTATGTACTTCTCATATTGTTTTCCCCTTGCACTTTTACTTTCAACAATAATATTTTTATGTTATATTTTTTAATTGCTTTTTTTCACCGTTGCTGGTTTCATTATGATTCGCAGTTCTTTTTGTTGTTTTTATTTTTGTTTTTATTTTTTTCCAATTGTCAAAGCAAGATTGTGGTTAAAAGACGTCACGCTTCTTATTAACTTTTCAATTTAAGTAATCAAAACAAAACGAAGAAGAAAATCGAGTGCATAAACAACGACTTTGTGAAATACGCTACTATTTCTAATTTGTTTTTGTTGAGGATTTCGTTTATTTTACAACAAAATACTAAAAAATTTTTTATATTTATATTGTCATTATATTGACTATTAAAAATTGATTATCAAAAATCTTTATATTTAAACAAACAGCAGAATTTTTGCGACTATAAGTTAAAAAAAGTGAATTTTATTTCAATGGGTAAACTCGTTCTTGAGATACTGTATATTTTCGAGGAACTCAAGGATACAAACAAATCAAGATGTGCTTTTTTGTCTGTCTGTTAAACTAGATGAAAGAGAGTTGGCACATGGATGGTGCCAACATGGGCTAGTTTTAGTTGCGACAGAGCTTTCTTTAACAGCTGTTGATTAAATTGTGATTACTCTAAAAATCACAATTTCGTTGGGCAACGAAATTTGACATTCGGAAGTCTAAAATCCCCATAAATTTTAAAATTAATCTATGTGTTTGATAAAGGACATTATTTATATAAAAATATATATATTTGTAATATAATTCAGACTCATAAGTACGTATACTCCATATTAAAACGTCTCAATTTTGACCAGGCAAGGGCATTTGTACAGAAAATAATCCGTTCCTTATAGATACTATATTTTTGATAAATTGGATAATTACTTGTTTAGTATAAGTTCCCACTAGCCAGTGATCTGCCAACATCGCCAGGAAATTTTCCACTTTGATCCTAGCTCTACTCAGTGGATCGTTTTAATCGATTAATTGTAGATTGGCTATGTTAGTTTAGATTTTCGTAACCTAATGTTGGTTTTCCATCTAGAGTTCGACTTATACGTTTTGCAAATAGATTTTAAAGATTTTAATTGAATGACCAAAATCATAAAAAACGTAAATAATTCATTTTCCTTATATATATAAAATAAAAGTGTTATATTTCATTTAAATCGATTTAGATCTGTATATAGTTGTGATACGAACTAAAATTTCTAATTTTTGCTTTTATAGGATATACTAAAATTAAATGTTTGTTGAAAATTTTAAACTTTTAACTTTATTACCACCCCATATTTTAAAATTGTTCGGCACACGCTTTCCGCAGTTCTTCTAATATCAATATTACCGCAGCTTATGACTGTTGGAGTAATTTGTACGGACTATATAGTGGATGTATCAAAATTTTCCAGCCAAAGTCCAGCTAAAAAAAAAAAAAAAAGACAATTTTTCTCCGAGATTGCAATGTTTGGAATTGAAATTTTAATCTTATGCATGCATTCAAACTATTTGATGAAGCATATTTGTTTCTACGACACAAGAATCTCAAAAAGTTAGTCTTAAACGACTTTGACTAACAATCGGTAGATATTGTTAAAATCTATTTTCTATTATGTATGCGAAATCACAACACAACGTTATCACAGCACCTAACATATAGTTTTTGTTGTGATATAAGTAGTTTCACAATTCCTATAGCTGATTAAGAACTGTAGTAAACTGCAGTACTAGATACGTCTACGGCCTTAAACGGTTTGGTCATCTAACAATGGAACAAAGCTGGAATTGTGATATTGCAATATTTGCACAACATCTTTATGTTAGATTTGTTTCATATTGCTTGTAAATACGGAAAACTTTGACATGCCTTAACTTTTTTGAATAATTTATCTATAGTTGCCTGAATTAGATCAAAAGACCATACTTAGTCATACGTTATAATTGAATCGTAAAAGGAGTATGGTATCTATGAAATCACATATGTGAACTTTATGCTAGGATTTTTTAATTGATTTTGTCGGCGGTAGATTACAATTGTGTCAGTTCCCTTAATTACTGTACTCTTAATACTCTAGCACTAAAAATGGGTGTTGGTACTATTGTTCAAGCAAACGATAGGTTGCAATAGTAAAATATTTTTAATATTGAACATGATATATGTAAGTTATTCACATTATTTCTTCCTATTGCATTGTATATCACAAATTCAATTTGTTGCGCTTAAATGCAAAATACTGAACTTAATAAACTGCATGAATCACCAACTTTCGCCGGAGAATATTATCATTGTCAAAGAAAGATATATGTATATATTTTTTTTGTACTCATAGAACACCTATTGATTTTTTGATTTCTTTGTCTAAGGAAATAACTTCAAATATTATATTTAATTACATTTAGTTAAATATTCATAATATATTATTTATTTTTATTGTTTTACGTTTTATGCATAGACACAAAATATTATAGATTTACAATCATATAGAATATTATTGTCGTATCAATAATAGATTTCAATTTAATGTTGAAATTTAAATAATATTTTAGAACAGAAGCCGCTCGTCTATTGCAATTCTAAAATGTATACCACGTTTCTTAATATAGGATAAATTTTTCAGATTTTCTACAGCTAATTTCTTTGTCCTTTTTTCTACAGGACGCCTATAACTGCAATACTTCTTACTTAAAAAATTTTGTATACTTACACTGCAAATCCGTTGTAACAATATCTATTATAATGTTATATATATTGAATAAAATTTTTAAATAAAAAAATTTGGTTAGCATTTTCTCTTGACGATATCATTAGTACCCTGATACTCATTATCATTGTTTTCCTTATTTCTTCTATAAACTTCCATTAAAGAATTTACCAATTCTGGGGAAGAGAAGCTTTCTCGTTATGGTGGTACTGTGATAGAAACATTGAGTGACATTTGTTTGCCGCTGTTGGGGACTCACCTCAGGACATAGCTTTAGTTGATCTTGCGGGAATAATGGTATTCAGTGCTTAGTATATATCATTTAACGAAATATTATTGGTACAATTAGGTTTTTAATTTTTCCTTGAATATTCCTCTCTCACCGAGAGACTTACGTCCCACAAGATTATAATTAAAGATTTTAAATGTCAATGTAAATTGACATATGGTATAGTTTAAGTGAAAGTTGAAAGTTACTTCTTTGAAAAATTAACGCATTTCTTTAAATGAGGAGCTAAATAAAATGGTGTTTTGCGTAGCACTACAAGGATTGGATCCAAAAATTAGAGAAGCATTTAGAGAAATTACACTGAAACATAAAGCCTTAGTTACAATTCAAAATACGTCTTCCATAACTATTTTGCAATTTTTTTTAACAAAATTTTATACAATTAAAAATTTATTTGCTAGCAAAAGTTTAATAAGTCAGAGGTAAAGCAATCATTATTAACTTTTTGAGTCAGCAATATATTCGCTGATATAAGTTGACATTATCTGTCAGTAGCACCATTTCCGCAAGTTAGTTCTACCCGCGTTCTTCACAAAATATATTTATCTAACCGCGTTGTTACTCATTGTCTATTTGGTGAAATTTCACGATGAAGTCTAAGATAACGCAAGTTCCAGGTTGTACTCGTATACTATATCTTATTATTTTATATACTATAATATATTTAATACCTATATTGATCTTGTGTTTTATTTTTTTGTCAAACACAGTTAAAAGTGTACCATGCCGTAATGGAAGATGTTATATCAAATGTTCGAGATGCATTCCTCGATGATGGTGTAGACGAACAGGTGCTACAAGAAATGAAACAGATATGGCGTAACAAATTAATGTCAAGTAAAGCTGTTGAGATAAATCCTGAACAATCAGAACCGCAGCCACCACAAATTATAGTCAACAATCCAAAGGTAAGCAGTATGTATAAGATGGTTATACCACATATACCAGTGTACGGTTGTAAGATATAGCCTAAGTACATATACAGTCTGTGTATATTTACCTATGGTGTATGTTGAAGTACATTTGGTTGTTGTGTTTGTCCTTGATGGTATAAGCTGTCCTGGGAGATCTAAGTATTTACGGAGGAACTAACAAAAGTTTGCTTAGTTGGCAACGTAAAATAGATTTTTGACAAATCAAAAAATACCAGCGATTTGGTGAATTTTTTCGATATTTCATTTAAAGTTTGAAAACAGCAAAATGAATTTTATTACAAATTTAATGACAAAAAGTACAAATTACACCGCCATCGCAGCATCATCGCCATCATATTACCATTCTTGATGTTCATGACTGCCAAATAGCATGTGGAAAGAATATAGTGCATTCTGAATGCCGCAAAAGTGATTTCAGATATATTAGGCTGAATATTTTTCTGTGAAGGATGAATCTCACAATGGTCACCTAATATATTTAATTGGTGATGGAATGAAGTTCAAAATTAACAAAGACATAAGATCGGCTCAAGAACTGATTGCTAATGAATTTGACTTAAACGCTATGGCTTTGCAGCGAATACTAAGAAATGGTTTTGGATAAATAAAGAAATTGGCATAATGAACTCCTCAGAGATTTTTAGATATGAAAATATATAATATTTTCTGTAATAATTTAAAAGTATAGTGTGCAGTACCTTCTATAAAATTGTAACAGAAGATGAAGTTGGATTTTACCAATCAATGGTATGAGGCCCAGAAGTTGTTAATTCACTCATTAAAACAAGGCAATAAAAGTCCGTAATGAATGCAATAATGCAATTTACTTCATGAAAGGAAAAGTTATAGATAGTCTGTGTACTTCAAGCAATTTTAAAGCCACTATGAAACAAACAAAAAAATACGAGAACAAATTAAAGGACGATCGATTCGATCAAGTTTCAGAAACCAACAGAATTTTTTTATTAAAATCGAAAATAGTCCATACAATTTTAGGGTTGCCGAGTGCAACAAAAATAAAAAGTATTAAAAAAAAATTAAGTTAGGATTATCAAACAATATAAAGTACAATAAATATAATTTGTGAAATATATAAATTAATAATAATTATTTCACGATCATTCTCACCCCGTTGGAACGATCGCGTTCCAAGAGAGATCATTTACAAGCAAGATACAGAGCTTTGTCACGGCACGTCTGAAAACACCATTTTTGGTACGTACTACCGCAACACGTACGACACCATCAGGAACCAGGTATAATTTCGATAACTCTACCGAGTGACCAGCGCAGTGGTGGGAGATTATATCTTTTAAAAGAACTATTGCACCGAGAGACATATTAGGAGTGGAGCTTCGCCATTTTGTTACTCGGTGCTCCAACGTTTCCAAAAATTTGTTGTACTCGGTGCTTCAGCATTTCCAAAAATTTGTTGATCAAGTCGATTAAAATTCAAGATTGTAGTGTCAGGCTCAATGATAGATGTTAATGGAGTACCAATTAGAAAGTTTAACTTGCTGAGCTTAGAAGACGTTTCTTCTCAAAAACATCGTGAGCAGTTACAACATCAATGTCTTAGCGACAGTATAGAATGAAAGTTTGTACCTTCTGGATCGCCACATTTCAGTTTCCTGTGAGAATTTGCCATAAAAACAGCGAAATGGCACTTCTGCCGAGCAATTGGCCTTACAATCTTTAATTTTGATGAACTACGCACATTGGTTTGTCAAATTGCTGCCATCATTAACTCTTGTCCGCTCTTCCCACTTTCAGAATGTCCTGAAGATCTTGTTGTTCTCACACTTGCCCAATTTCTAATTTATAACCCTAACATAATTTTTTTTAATACTTTTTATTTTTGTTGCACTTGGCAACCCCAAAATTGTGTGAATTACTTTTGAATTTAATAAAGAAGTTCTGTTGATTTCTGACACTTGACCGAGTCGGTTGTCTTTCTTTTAATTTGTTTTCTTTTTGCTTGGTAGTGGCTTCAAACGCTTGAACTCCCAACAGATAATATTCCTAGAAAGATTGGAGAGACTCTAACTGTCAAAAGATATACTGAAACGTACTTATCACAAGTTCTCGAAAATTGGTTGAGAAACCAAAACAAAAAGAGCTGTGAGATACTTTCTGATCCCGATCACCAGCACACCATACTCCCCAAATATAGCGTCGTGTGAGTTCGAGTTGTTTCCAAACATAAAAAGCATATGAAGAAAAGGATCTTCGACAATTGTGAGGCATGATTTTGGGTATGGTTTTCTTAGAGAGTGGATCTACCGATTTCAAAAATGTTGAAAAGCAAGAAATGATGATGTTCCAAGTTATGAAAAATCAGTTATTTTTGACATTTTTTTTTTTTTTTTTGAAGATGACTAAGCGAACTTTTGTTAATCCTCTTGTAAGTGGAAAAATTGAAAGGAAAACATTATTGATTATATTTAATAATTGTTTTTCATGTTTTTATTTATTTTTAATTTTTGAAATGCTTCGTGTTGTCCAATGTGCTGCTGTCGTAAAATAAATGCTGTTTATGTACAAAACCAACAACAATTTGATGCTGATCAAACGATAAACAATAAACAAATTTTGCATTATAAATTGCATCGCATATGTTCTTTACTTTAACTATGTCATCACCTTCATCGCTTATACTACAAACATATTTTATTACCAATTATTAAATTATTTTTGCATTCGAATGGGCATTTGTAAACGTCATTTTGCAAACGCTGGTGGATGCAGCCATCAAAGGTAATTAAATATTGTTAATTAATTATTATTTATATCAACACGAATTTCATTAAAAACAACACATGTGTGCATGATTTTTATTCGATCGTTCAGTATGTCTGAGTGAACTCAGCAGATAACTTATAACTCCATTAAAAATTGTATTGAGCATATCGTTAATCGACTTAGGGAGCCCAGGGCTCGGTGCTGTAATTTAAACACAAATAGGTTAAATGTAATTAACCGACCCAATTATGCTATAACTTCTGGGAGACAGTGCCATCGAATGCTTGTGCTTTCATTAAACTCGTCTCAAGAGCTTGAAAATAGAGTATGTTCTTCCAAAACAAGTAGAAGGCGAAAGAAGTGGGCATTTAGTATATCTACCTGAAGAAAATCCGATATGTTTACATGAAATCGTTATTACAGTCATAAATTTTAAAGGCGTCACAGCCGATCGTCTTAGAAAATGAAGGCGCATTTAAAAACGTGAATTTTTCTGTGTAAATTACTTGATTTTGAATTTTGATTTTCCAAACTAGATTCTGAGATTTGATCCACATATACAAAGAATAGCAAGCGATTTTTTCTGCCTTATTTAAAATATACCTATATAGACTGAGTTTAGAATTTAGATTTTTTTTACTGGATGTTTTCATTAACTTAACTCCAATCTAGAAACTTAAAAGTGATGCTTTCTGCGGTGTGTGTAAAGTGTTATTTCATTCACGTCATCGGTTTTCTGTACTTCTATTAAAAATTCCGAACTTTAGGATTGGTTGTAGTTCAGTCCCTACAGATATTTAACTTCTTTTTAACTATTGAGAACAATATTTTATTTTTAAATGAGTCCAGCATACACTTGCTTCAACCATAGAAAATACTCTCTCTATTCTATCCTACCATCGCTATTTTATTTTGCTCTTAAGTCACAGGATTGTGATAGTTAGTCAGTTGACTAACTATTTTATATCGAAGTTTTGTAACAGTTCACTGTTTTGATTATAATTAGAACAGATTTTTTTAGATACACATTCATTTGGGACTCTTTTTCAAATTGTCTTAACAACTTAACCAGTTGTTTTAACACAAATATAATCTGTCATTACTAATTGAGACTTCACAATAAAAAATACTCGTCATATAAATCAGAACCCTAAAATAAAAACCGAAGAGCCATCCATGCAATAGCTTGTGTGTTTACGAAATATGAATCCATGCTTTTTCCTATGTTTAAAATATCGAAAAATATACAGCGCGCGAATTTTAAATGAGAACCTCCGAAAACCTTTCGGTCACAATGTATAGCTAACATTGTTCTGACATATTCGACACTATGACTAATAATAATAGTGGGCTACTAATAATGCTGTTCTATACTTAGAAATAATATTTTGTTCCATTTGATAAGCCTTCAAACATCAAAAACTGTTCGCTACTTCGAAATGAATATATCATATACCATGAATGTACGAGTTAAATCGATGACTAGATAGTTAGTTAACTGTATTAAGAGGAACTCATTTCTGGAGGATATGATTCTAGATGCTCTTATAACACTTCGTTCAATAATGTGTGTGACTAACTAATTAAAACACATTTTTTTGCCAAAATTCGTTTTTATTCTTCAACATAGTCCCTTTTTATGGAGATACAATCATTCCAATGCTTTTGCAATCTTTGGATACCGCCTTTGTAAAACGATTTTTCTTTGCCTTCAAAATAGGCGTTAGTTTCGGCGATTACTTCATCATTTGAGCCAGATCTCTTACCACGGAGCATCTTTTTGAGGTCTGCGAAGAAGCAGTAGTCGGTGGGGGCCAGATCTGGAGAATACGATGGGTGCGGCAGCAATTCATAGCTCAATTCGTTCAATGTTGCCATCGTTTTCATCGACTTCTGACACGGTGCATTGTCGGACATAATGATTTTCAGTGTTTTTCAACGTTTTCCGGAATAACAGCGTCATTTGGCCGTCCAGTAGATTGAATGTCATCGGTATATGTACGACCACGTTTGAATTCGGCATACCAATAACACATGCTTCTTTTTGATGGAGCAGAGTCCGAATAATGTTTTTCAAGCCATTCCTGGCATTGAACAGTATTTTTTTTCATTAAAAAACAATGATAAATCAGCACACGGAATTGCTTTGAATTACATTTTTTTTGAAAACTCAAAAGTAGCGTCACTTAAAGCACTGTAACTTGTAAACAAATGGTCGGATTAACATATGATTTTGACAGTAAGCCTAAAAAGGTTGCCACTTTCAAAAAAAAATATTTATTTAGTATTAGTGCCGCCATCTATGTGTCAGTCACACACATTATTGAACGAAGTGTTAAATAAAAAATACTCATTACAAACAAATACATTAATCACTTGGGCATTATTGCATGTTGCACTTTAATTTTCAGTTGTGTGCAATGTTATTGGAATTTATATGAACATTTTTTTAATAATGTTTTTACATTTACTAGGCCTCTGCGGCTAAAGCTAAAAGACAAGCAGCTATTGCTGCAGCTGCTCAACATAACAATTCTTCAGCAATAGCAACAACTAATTCTGCAACCACAAATTTGGATATAAAACCAGGTATTGCCGGCAATGCTGGATCAACAGGAGGCGCAACAGTCGGATTGACTAATTCGTCTGGAAATAGTATATCAGGTATGATCAACGGTACAAATAATAAAAATGATTCGAATCCAACAGCATTGCAAACAAATTCTGTTGGTGCAACGATTTTGCAACAACAGCAACAAAAAATAAATGTACCTCAGACATCACATCTAACGAATGGTCCTTTAACAGCACAACAACAAACATCAGCCACTGGTCCCTTGCCAATTGTCGCCGCACTAGATCCATGTCGAATTATGCCCGTTAATGTAAGTTTAGTGCATATAACAATCATTTTATATTTTTTAATTATGAAAGCATATTATTTTTAAATTTGTTTTTTGTAAATTTGTTTTCTTCCAGATTACTTTACCTGCTCAACCCGGAACCCATAACACGGAACCGCGCGTACTTACTATACATGTGCCAGCCTCAGCCTTGCAAGAAAACCAACTTACACAAATCTTAACTGCGCAGCTAATATCATCTATTATATCTTTGCCAACAACATTGGCTAATTCTGTGCTACAACAACACGTTACAGCGGCGCTACAAAATCTTAGTATACAGAGTAAGTAGTTTCCTTATAATAGTCAATTTATAATCTTATTTATTTATTTAAGCATATTGAATTTAAAAACCTTTCACTATTAATACATCATAACAGTATAAGACCATTTACTACAAATTTGATGTAACACCAAAATTTATGGACTCTAGTCTATAATTAAATTACATTCCTAAAGTATATTTACTATTCTTTAAAGTAACAAAAATAGATTCCAAAATCATATATTTGTTAAGAAATATTAATTCTTCTATCTTCCTTGTTTTATTACTACATTTTTACGCATTCAACTAAATCGTAAAATATCGATATATAGCCCGTTATAAAGGATGGGTTTTATCTGGCACCTCTGTGTGTGTAATTTTCTTCAGTTATTTTGATAACTATTTGTTTATCTAAACAGGATTTGTGTGCTAAAATATACAGTTTTATATTGGAAGCAAACTTCTTAGCTTTCTATAATAGAGTGGGCGTCGAATATACTAAATACCCAGTTTAAGAAATGTCCAATGTTGTCGCAAAATAACCACTGTTCATGACACTGTTCGAGACCTCGTTAGGATCACAGGGACATTCTCAACACACTTTCGGCATAAATCTTTTAAAGACGAAAAACGTCGGCCTCCTGTAGCAAAAACGGTGGTCCTTATCCAATTGCAGTCATAGTATAACTTCGTAAAAAACTGTTATTTGTGTTAATACGATGTCATACCTTCTTTGCTGGATTATAATTTCTCTCTCCATATACTGACGAGGAATTAAAAATAATTAGAAGTTATTATAATAACAAACTCACCTAAATTGTTATTATATTTTTTCAGGTCAGAAGTTACTCCATTTTGAAATAAGGTGACTTCTTCATAATAAAATATTTGACGGAACTGTTTACATTTTTGGTGACAGCCAATCGGCAATTATGCCCGTGCTGGTGTCTATGCAATACTGAACCTTACATTATCGATACTGATAATGTAATACCTGAACTTGATTTGAAGTGTCGTAAATTTTATGATGAGATGTCAATATATTTTACGTCTAATCGTTTTCTTCCTATACGGATATTCCTGGCAACTAAGAAGCTTATGAGTTGCCCAGAAGGAGCACACAACGTCCTTACTGCTTTCAAAAGATTTTTGCACAATTATTCGATGGAAATCCGATTCAACATACAATCTTAATATACCGTGTTGCAACTTTAAGAAATTGCCATACAATACTTTGGTGCATATCGTAGTGAACATTTTCTGACCGCTTTTTTTAAATATATTGTTTCTCGTTTTGTATTTTGTACATGACATCTTTTACATTTATGATAGAAAAGTACGTCCAGTTTAAAATAATTTAGTCATCTAAAAAAATTAGTAATGCTTCTTCATACCGATTCAGATTGGAATCAAGTGTTATTTTTTTCTTAGCGTTTCTCATAACAACGTTTCTACTTTCTTTTGTGTCTTCTTCTATTTATTACTGCATCCTTTATGACTCCACAAATTAACATTTGCTTATGTGTTTTTTGCCCTTTGTTACCTTATTTCATTTAACTTATTTTTTATTTTTAGAGTTTAATCCATCAAAACAACTTGATGGTCAACTGGTGGATACTACAGATGAAGAGGAAAGCGATGTTAGTGATGACAATATTGATGAAGACGATGAGGATATTGATAAGGATGAAGACGAAGATATAGAAAATGAAGATGGAGCTGAAGAAGAACCACTTAACAGCGGAGATGATGTGAGTGATGAGGACTCCACTGATCTTTTCGATACTGATAATGTCATTGTTTGTCAATACGATAAGGTAATTAAACAAATTATATATATGATATGGATAATATATATTTCATACATTTTAATATTTTATGTAGATAACACGTTCGCGTAATAAATGGAAATTCTACCTTAAAGATGGTATTATGAATATAGCTGGGAAGGATTATGTTTTTCAAAAATCAAACGGTGATGCGGAATGGTAACGTTTGTAATCTCGCGAAAATCTGCTTTTTAATATTATATTATTTTGTATAAGCATTTTTCTTTTTCTTATTCTTATAACTGAGTTTATTTATATTAAGCTTCTAATACGTATTCTTATAACTGCGTTTATTTTAATTCCCACTTATTTTTGTATTTAAATTGCGAAAAATAATATAATCAATCCATTGTTTTAAATTTAGGGTACATTTTGTGACGCAGACAAATTCGCCAATTTCTAAATTTTCAAGATTAGATTAATATTTACTTCGCGTTATTGACATTAAAACTATGGATGTTATAAGATAAACATGTATATATAGAACTATAATAATAAAATGTAACAATATTAAAAAATATTATATATAAAAATAAAAAAATATTTTACTTACAATAAAAGGGATTTTTTGATATTGTCGTGAATATCCAATGAAGATTTGGTGTTAATTGCATCATTGAGGACAGGTCTGTCACACATTATGTATAAAAGAATATAATATCTATTATCTTTTAATAGTAAAATTATACATTTTTAAAAACAATTTCTTTATACATACATTCCTATCCGAATCAATTTCATGTGTTAAAAATATATACCCTTTGTTTTACTTATTGAATTCTTTAATATGCGTACATACTTTTTACATATATATTATAATTCTATAATTTTTACTTATTTCTAAATTCCAAAATATTTACTATATATAATTAATTTTTTTATAATTTGTATTTGAACCCTTATTATAAATTTATATTTTAGAAACATTGTTTTTTTTCTTAATATTTAAGAATATATAAAAAATTGTGTTGTGAATTTATAAGTTTTTGTTTTATTGTTTTATTACAATTCAATTTAAATAAAAAAAAATTATTTTAGATATAAAACATTTAACAACGTCCATAATAATAGAGTACGGATTTTAAAAGTATAGTCAATTTAGATAGTTTTTTATATTGTAATTAATTTTATATGTTTTGCAATGTAAGGATTTTTTTTGTGATTTTTGTTTTTGTTTTAATATTTGAAAATGTACAAAACAAATTGAATTTTATAAATCATGCTTTAATCTAATCTTAGACTATACAGTTAATTCATCATAATTTTTTTATATTATATTTTAAATTTTAATTTGATATACTGCAATGAAATTTGTGTGGCAATAATTTGTTGAAAATTAGTTCGAAAAACAATACATAATATTTAATTAAGTTCAGGTTATAGTTTAAAATTTACACAATAAAAATGTAGCTAAGCCTTAGTCTGTGACTTCTAAAATAAATACACATGTCACTGTCAAACTATTAATATATTAATTCGTATTAGCGAATTTTATATTTGCTTATTGCATTTAAATATTACGTTTTAAAGTCAAAAGAATTATTTGCTTTACTGCTAACGCTTGTAGCGACTGACACAATGAAAGCATTTATCATTATGGATTGTTTCTGTTATATGTAGATTTTTGCATTAAATTTGATTGTGTGTGAATGTGAGAGATGTTAAAACAATTGCTAGATTAGCTAGTCAAGAGCGCAATGTTTATCTCCTTGACCATTTTAACGCGATGTAACATTTTCTGTAATGATTCTTTACTAAGGGCTTGCGTTGAATACCAGACAGGTGAGTCCGGCACACAGGAACGTTCTGGTTGCAAATAAAAGACATCATTACGAGTTTTAACGCTTTCAGGACTGTAAAAATAATTATTTCGTATTACTTGTAGAAATTTCAATTATTACATTAAGAAAATCCTTACCATTTTGAAAGATAAAATTCGTATAAACGAACAGGGCAACGCAGAGGATTTTCTTCGTTCTCTTGCTGTTCATACACTTTCTTTTTACGAGGATTAGCTTCTGTAATATAAAATAATATACAAAAGATTAGAAAATTATAACATTTTGTCAATTTATATATAAATTTAAAAATCTTGTTTTTTGTTTGTATCAATCCTAAACCGTTGAATCGATCTGCATGATATTAATACTACATAATCTCTACAGAAAAGGGTTTTTAAAATGTGGATGATCCATACCAAATACCATATCAAATAAATGTTTAAATCAAATTACTAGCAAAACCGCTGAATCAAACTGTATGATATACTAGATAAGGAGGAACACATAGTCCAAAATTTTTATTTAGAGTTAATATCTGGGATTACCATCATTGAAAAATTTATTAATTTATAACTTTTCAAAGTCAGTACATTGAAAACCCGCCAGGTGATATATAGATGAAAGTTCTTGAATTGAATTGAATACTTAATTACGTTAAATATTATTTTTGGGTGTAATCGCACAAATTGTCAAGTTTAAGTTTTATTACATTTACCAGGAGCACCATTGGTGAAGATCATTGTTAAATGATATAGGTAGCATGAATGTATAGAGAATTAACTAATAATCATCATTGATTTTAAACCAGCTGTCATCGCATGTTACAGGATTACCATTCTTACCATTCTATTTTCTGTCAAAAAAATATCTTGTATCACACAGATAAACATCCATTGCGCTACAGTTCGTAAGTCCTGGTTTCATATAACTTACGTTAAGTCTTTTCTTCGTATCATATTAAGTCAAGTATCAGCAAGAACCTCCAAGTATCAATCCTCCAAACAATATATTCCAGGTCCCAGTCTAAAATTTTTGAAGGATGTAAAATGTCCCTCACACCCTGCAAGCCCTGTATGAACATAGTCATATGGTAAACAGTTCCTTGTGACGCATAAATATCTACGCCCCAAATATATAGCCCACCGCAGCTTTACTTTCATGTTCAAGTGCATATACAAATTTATTGATTTATGGCATTAACCATAAGATTAAGGTGACCATCTTCATCTTCCCCTTTACCTTAACACTCTTTCCATATACTATCTAAATGTGTAAGTTTAATCATCATTACGTGCGATTAATTTTGAAATTATGTGGGTGTTGAGAGTTAACTGAAATTAGTAATATATGCGAAAATAGTGTCACACAGAAGTGGCAATGGAAGACACTAAACTGAATTCGGATCAAAACCAAGAAAGTCTAAAATTTTAATAGAACACGCGTGAATCATCGATTACTTGTATTGCATTTTTGTGCAGACGAACCTAAGGTTAGTTGATGTGCTATTTTTATACTTATGATATATTAATACATGATACACTTGCAACATAGGCACTAGATTGACATTCGGTACTATGACATCAGTAGTAGTAAAGTAGTATTGATGGCATATAAAATGTGACTTCTTATAGTTGGAGACTGATCTTAAATCAGATTGGAGGTACTTATGTGAAAAAACAGTCTCGAGTCTAATCATTAAAAGGCTTATAAAATGATGGATAACTTATAGATTAGCATATGATGATGATAATGATTGACGATAATGAGAAGAAAAATGCTATATATTTGATGTGACTCGAAAGGTATCATGCAATATGATTCACTTCTGCCTGACCGAACGATGGATTGTAATCTATATTGATAACAATTTATGCGACTAAAGATGGAAATCGAAAAAAGGGTCCTTGGTTAAGCAATTTTGATGCATTCACTGTCTTTTCTTGCTGGCGTTAACTTGAAAAAGAGCTGTACCATATTTATTGGCACTTATTAAATTTTTTTTTTTTATAACAAAAAAATAATGATTCGAGTCGAAAAATAGCAAAAGGTAGTACAAAAAAAAAAAAAAGAGACAATGCACTGAATAGTATTTAATAGAAGTAGAAGTAATATTTGATTGTGCCGATGTTGACCATTAAACTTGATTATTACAACTCTTAGATCAACTATTGTTTCGTATACTACCTTACATAACTAAAAGTCTTCAGAACTGACTTAAATTAGATCTGATTTAAATTAGATACCACGTATAAGAAGTAACAGTACTGTATTAATATGTTAACAAAATTAATAGTAAAGTAGTTGGCCACCAAAAAAATAGAAATGTTTATTACTTACCAAGTCCAGCTTGCGGCGGATAAAAACGTAGAAGGACATTACGTGTGCCTGGTGCTTTGGTAGCTTGCGCCGAACGCTTCCAATGCTTCATGATATGCGAAAATGATAATTGCATGTGCTCCTCAACAGTCTAAAAATAATAGTTCGTCGTATTTTATATAGTTTCTACAAATTAATTGAAAATTACTTACAGTCAAATTAAAGTGTTTTGTATTGAAAAACATCAAAGTACTGAGCAGAACATGTGGAGAATGTGCCCCCAATTGCTTGCATTCCCACAAATGTTCTTCTTCAACACGTGTAACAATGTATTCTGTTAAAGAAAATTGAATTTTTTGTAATAAAATTAAAATAAAATGCTGTGGATTCTATATATAAAAGTAAAGGCTATATGATAATAGATGCATAATATCTGTTAAGACCAGAAGTATTCTTTTAGGACTACGTAATCAGTTTCAATTATTGTCTAAAAAAAAAAAATGTATATATATATAGAAAGAAGTATATATAATAAAATTTTTATAACTCATTTGCAATTTCTCTAACTCTTTGCAATATTTTGGTCCGTTCATCTTAAAGGCGTTAACCTCTACAATCCGAATAATACACATTCTTCACCTGAGAGGTAACCCTTATCTTTACAAGTCGAAGTTTGAAAGTCGACCTCTACAAACTGAAATTAATGTCTAATGTCAGTGATTAATTTATTTTCGAGAATAACGCAATTAC